CCTGCCTTCAGCATTTTACCAATAAATAATTTTTCCAATGCTCAACGTTAGGGTTTAACCAAGGAATTTTTCACAAGACTGTTTTTCACGTTAACACCTTTTCTTAGTTTTGACGGTAAAATCATTAATTTTATTCTTATTTTTAATTTAATTTCCATCTTTTATACTCCAATCTCCTAGAGATACTTAGATGTCAATCTGTTTAATACTAAGTTATTATTCTAGTCGTACCTGAAGACGCTCATGCTATAAGCGAAACATTGTAGTACTGAATTAAACTAATAAATAATCATAGTGGATCAACCTGTGTCCTTTCTCAATTAACTTTGACCATGATGGACGTGGAGACCTTAATTGCCAAATTATATACTGCTGGCAGAAGACTAATCCATTAACAGGCTAATGGACGACTGCATACAATTGGCAAATGACTTGATATGTTGGCAAAAGGTTAAATACTATTTTCTGAAGCCCTGAACCATAGCTGTCTCTACTTCAAAAACTAAACGTAAGATGGTAATAAGAGAGTCAACAAGATGTAAGCTGGTTAGCGTATTACCGTGCTAAAAACGGATGGACGAAACAATCTCGGCCGACTTCGAAGACGTCGGCCGCCCCAACTATCATGAAACCCAACCCAACCCAAGTATTATGAGCAATACTTAGGGCGACCGACGTCTTCGAAGTCGGCCGCCCCAACTATCATGAAACCCAACCCAAGTATCATGAGCAATACTTAGGGCGACCGACGTCTTCGAAGTCGGCCGAGTTGTTTCTTCCATAAACTTCAAGCAGAGTAGGCTTGGTATCACACTTTGAATACCGGGTGATCCCATTAATAACTTTATGGAAGAAATAATCTCGGCCGACTTCGAAGACGTCGGCCGCCCCAAGTACCATGAAACCCAACCAACCCAAGTATCATGAGCAATAGTTAGGACGGCCGACGTCTCCGAAGTCGGCCGAGTTGTTTCTTCCATAAACTTCAAGCAGGGTAGACTTGGTTTCACACTTTAAATACTGGGTGATCCCATTAATAACTTTATGGAAGAAATAATCTCGGCCGACTTCGAAGACGTCGGCCGCCCCAAGTATCATGAAACCCAACCCAACCCAACATAAGTATCATGAGCAATACTTAGGCCGACTTCGAAGACGTCGGCCGAGATTATATCAAATTTTCATGATAAAAAACTCTGGATTCGGAACATACTACAAAAAAACTTTTAAAACAAAAGTTGTGGCAAATTTTATTCTTAACAATATCGCTCTCTTTCACTTTTACTCTCAGATGCATGGATATCGAGAAAAATGTGAAAATTTGCCGAATTCGTGGTTTTACAAATTATGGATGGCATCAAATTTATGGAATTTATAATGAAAATTAAATAAAACCAAAAAGAATAAAAGTAAACATTTTATTTCCGTTTTTTTTTTAACTTAACCTATGTCTTGTAATAATGTACATACTCAACATGTTTGTTTTTTTTTATTTTTTTTTAATTACTCTAAATAATTGAATGACGTGATTAAATTATACGGGAATTAATCGTCCCTCACCGAAGTAGAGCCCCCCAGCCGTTAAATATGAATAGATTCATACTGAAACACTTTCGGTGAGGGAGGGAGGAGCAGTTTTGTATTATTTTAACCTTACACGTACTACTATTCTGAGAGAGAGAGAGAGAAAAACTAAATTAAGGAATTGTACACCCGATATTTCACGTTATTCGGCGTTATAACCCACTCCCTTCGAAAGCAAATTTCAACACTCCGTTTTGCAAAGAAAAGAAATTTTAAATGCTATTAACACACACAATTTGGCAGGTAGAAACTAAAGAAAGCTTTTGACAGTTCATCGGCTATTCAGTAATCACATCGGTATAATTTAATATAATTTACTTCTTTCCCCGAAGAATATCAGTCACATGATGTATTAGTTTTCTTTATTCGTCTATTTCTGATTCTTTCAACTGGCCGGAGTTTTTGAATTCGCTCTGGCCACAGCCTCTTCAACCATCTTCTTATGTTTTCCAACTAACTCTGGTAAATCATACGCAATCGCCACGTCCAGCCGGTTAATTGGGCAACCTCTGAAATACGTACAAGTCGCCGAGAGCTGTTGGAAATCATACAGAGGATTCAGTCTGAAAAAGTCTCTATAAACATCCGGATCTGGTAAATCATAACGTGAAATATTTGTTAACGTTGAAAGCCCTTCGTAAATGTGGTAATCCTGAGGATGTTCGATAATTGCATCCGAAACCTGTTTTCTATTACCAAACACCGACTTGTGATTATAATAAGTCGTTAAATAACAATCAACCATTTTTGCATGGTTTCTTACACGTACCTAAAAGCAAATAAATTCAATTTTTTAATCCAATATACAAAATAATAACATTTTTACCGCAAATCTTCGTGCACTAGCTATCCTATTTTCAATTCTCTTATCAATAGCTGTTCTTAAATCTCTTAAGAACGCTCGTTCCTGAGCTTGAAGAAGCCTAACGGGCGCCCACGGTTCATAAGGTCTCGACCATAACGAAGTGGTGTACATAGCGGGTGGTTGAGCAGAAGACATAAGTGGGGAAATATTCCATATTAAAGCTCCTTGAACTCGCATCAATTCTTCGGGCTTCACCTGATCGGCTTTGTTTAAAATTATGCGCGTCTGTAATGCGTGGTTTATTTATAGAAAATCGCGTGGTTGCTAAGAACGAACGCATACCTGATGCTCCCTTCCTTTCAATTGATCCAAAATAGCCTCAGTCTCTGGGCCTACGTCCAGCTTCGAAGGATCGTAGACCAAAAAGATGATATCGGCCCTGTCTATAAACCATTGGCAGGCGTCATTGAACGGAAAGACGCGCGATATTTGTTTGCGAACTTCCAATATTCCAGGAATTTCAACGATATTTACCTAAATTTATCTAAATCAGAAAAAAGGGATTAATAAATATTTAAAATATTCACCTTTTCGAGCAATTTTTTTGGAAGTTTCATCCCTCTAAGTCTTTCTTCTAATCCTTGTCCGAATTTTTGAAGACCAGAGAAAGTAAAATCAGCAGCCAATTGGGTCCCGTCGAGAACTTCCGGCTCCTGACCGTGCATCATAATATTAAAATAAGCAGGTGAAGGTTCCGCACCTAAATAAAAAAAAATAAAACAAAATTTTCCAATCAACCCAAAATAAATTTACATTTACCCGTTCTCAAAGATGTTTCATTATATTCATTATCAACCAAATAGTTGATAATAGACGATTTCCCACCACTCCATGGTCCCATAAAAAGAACTAAAGGCTTTGCAAAAATTTCGGCATCCCCAAAATGACGGTTACTTAAATCTCGGTATTTATACAAAGTTTCCAAAGGTTTTATTGCGTTCTCGTATAACCTCTTCAAATCTCTTAACGTTATTTCTGCTATATTATCTATAATCCTTTCTTTCTCTTCGTATTCATCGTCTAGTTTTAATAATTGCGCTAAATGTTCCGTTGGTCGAAGTTCATCAGGTTTTTCATCCTCAATTATTAATTCTTCCTCAGGAGCTTCTTCTTTTTCTTCACTTTCTTCATCTTTTTCACCTTGATCTTTAATTTCAGATTCTTGAATATCTAATTTTTTAGGTTCTTCTTTCTCTTCAGTGATGGGTGTTTCTATTTTTTCTTCAATTTGAGCTTCTTGTGGTTGATCACCTTGCATTTCTTCGATAGATTCTTTGGTATCTTCAACAGAATCTTTCGTATCTTCGACTGAATCTTTAGTATCTTCAACTGAATCTTTAGTATCATCGACAGATTCTTTAACATCTTCAGCTGATTCTTTAGTATCTTCAACAGATTCTTTAGTATCTTCTACAGATTCTTTAGTATCTTCGGCAGATTCTTTAGCATCTTCAACAGATTCTTTAATATCCTCTACAGATTCTTTAACATCTTCCGCGGATTCTTTAGTATCTTCGACTGAGTCTTTTGTATCTTCGGCAGATTCTTTAGCATCTTCAACAGATTCCTCTTTATCTTGATCTTCGGTTGATTCATCTTTTTCCTCTTTCTCGGCAGATTCAGCTTCTCCCATTTTCTGCTCCTCTTCCACTTCTTCAACTGATTCTTGTGATTCTTTTTTCTCTTCTTCTATTGATTCTTGTGTTTCTTGGTCTTCTTCGCTTTCTTTTACAGTTCCAGTTTCATCTTCCTTGGAGGTCTCGGCTTCTTCAGCGCTGGCAGTTTCTGTTGATTTATCTTCATCTTCGGTTTCTTTCTCGTCGGATCCCTCGGTTGGTTCCTCAACGGAAGCGGAAGTGGCGTCTTCTTGATCTCCATCGTGATCTGTTTCTCGGTCCTCACCCTGATCCTCCTCAGAACCGTCGTCTGTAGCCTCAGGAGCATCTCCTGCATGGATTTCATGAGAGTGTGCATCTTCATCAGATTGTTGATCTTCGCCCGATCTGGGAGTGGCCTCCTCGAGAGAGCCGTCGGTTTCCTCACTCCCATCCTGTTCCTCTTCTTTCTATGACAAAACGCAGTGGTTTACGGGCGGAAGTTGTGAAGGGAAAGGCGGTTACCTGGTCTTCTGCGCTTTTGGCGTCCGCGTCGTCTTCGAGTTCGACTGTTGGTTCGGATTCTCCTTCATGCTGAAGCGAGTCGTCGTCTTCAGTGGTAATTTCGACCGTTGCGATGTCTTCTTTGCTGCTATCGTCGTCGTCGACGACCGCCGAAGAAGACTCCGCGCCGATCTCCAACTCTTTCAAGGCCTTCTCGATGAAGGGCCTGCATTCTGACTCTGATGGACCTGACTCGACAACTCCTTGCACGACTACATATAAGCGGATTTTTTTAAATGAGATAAATCAAGCTGACGTACGGTTGGAACAATGATTGCGTTCCGAGGATTACAGCTGGGTGTAGTTATTTGACCTGGTGAGGTTGGACTTGTTGGCAGATACATTTGTTTATGTTGTCAAAGGGAAGGGAGATTTAAGAATTTGATTGTTTTTTCTCAGCTGTTGCGTTATTATGTAAGAATGGAGTTGAAAAATTATCTCACTTAAACTGGGTCCAAGAAATAACTTTTGCTCCAGCTAAGTATAGAGTAATTTAAGACAACGAATAAAGATTGAAAGCAAAATTTTTTTTCCGAGAAAAAAGTTTTAAGGATTTTTTGAGGAATTTTTCGTGGGATAAAGTTGGTCTAAATTTAGTATCGTACAGTCTAGGATTGCTAAAATCTGGACCATTGCCGAAAATGTCGTCAGATGCAGCAACTTTATATATATACTTCGGGATTAAATTAAAAAAAAGCGTTTTTTGAGAACGATTTCAAAAAGAATTAGGTTTTTAACTTTATGTAGATTACGATGCCTAGGATCTATTTTCGCTGGCGGTCACGAGCTTTGACGCCGAAAATAGAAACGAGAAAGCTATTTTTTGACCAAAATTGTTAACGAAATCTTAATCTTCACCGATCGATGCATTAACGCCTAAAATTTCACCGAACCCCGAAACCGCACGAGTTTCGCTTTAAAATTAGACTTGGTCGAAATCCAAAAATAACTCAAAAAATTTCTCAAAATTATGTAATACAATGGTGATTTCATTATCGTTTAGTTTTTTTTCTCCCCAAGGTACTTTCTAACCTATTAATCACTAATCTCCAAATAGATTTAGATAATTTAAAAATTCGGAGTTAAAAAAAAAATTTTTTTTTGCTAATTATATTTAATTAATTCTATTTGTTAACGTACCCTGCAAAGATGATGTGAGATAAAGTAATCCAAAGAGCAGAAGGGGCCAATGGAACCTGCTTCTGGTCTCCATGGCTCAACTTAACTTCACCACACACATGAAGGTATCGCACTGAGAGCTAGAATAGGCAGTAGCCCAAAACGTCGCGACGCCGCAGCGTCGAAACATCATCAAATTGACCTTGCAAACACTTTCCGTTTCTTGTACTACATTTTTTAAGAAATAAAAAAAATTGTTTTTACTAGAATTTATTTAGAGTAATAGCCAAATAATTCAAACATGCTTCAATAAATAACACATCAATTCTTTGCGCATGCAGCGCGCCTTTTGCGACGAATAATCCTCGCCCTTAGATACTTTTCTCCCCCAACAGTTTCGGTTTTTCGGATGACATCCACAGCATCACTTGCAGATTTTCGCAACAAAAAGATGACATCGGCTGTGCCGGTGGAGCGACCGAACACATCGTAATAGATGTTGACACTTTCAACGTCCCCAAATACTTTGAAAAGCTTGTAAACTTCTTGGTCGGAGATATCATCTCGTAGATTTTTGACACGAAGAATTGTTGGGCCTGGATTTGTAATCTTCGGGTTTAACTTATTGCGAAGGCGTTTTGGATACCTAATTTTTAATTTTATTTATAGGAGCTAAAATAAAGGTAATTAAAATACTAACTTGGGTTGGTATCTAGTCCACGGAGGGTAAAAAGCATTCCATTCGGAGCTTGATACGGAGGAGAGTGAGACAGATTCGTCGTTGCTGTATGAAGTTAGATTGCAAGTGGATCGCGATTTAAGAGTTGAAGTACTTCCAGAAATGGTTGGTGTGCTAGACGAAGATGATTCCTTCGCTTCGTCGTTGCTTTCCAAATCTTCCTCTGGGACTTCGACGATCGTTTCCAACTTGATAACAAATTTCTTCATCTCGAAGCTTGATTTACCTCTAAAAATGATTTAAAATACATTAATAATAAGAATATGGGTAAAAAATGCATTTTTACCTGGTATCCTTTAAAAAAGCGCACTTCACTAACAAATTGAATTGTGTACTAATCAAAATGGCGGAGAGGGGTTGGGTTGTAAAAAAAATTGGGACATGCGCAATCGCGTTTTGTGGTCTAAAAACCGTTGTGCGCACGCGCAGAAAAAAAATGGGATTTATTTCATAATAAAATATATTTGTTATAAATACTCGGTTTTTTATGAATACAAATGAGGTTTTTACATGATTTTCTGGTATAAAAATAATAGTCTTTTCTCTCTCTGAGAAAGGAATGAATTAAAAAAGTTTGAACACTATACGGTGGTAAGTTCAATTCGATTGTACTTCCTCTCCTTTTTACACAAAATTGGATAAAAAAACGCTATGTAATAAACAGCAACCCCTAATAATACAAGTGATACAATAAGAAAAACTAATCCCCATGCTGATATCCCGATTCCCCTCCCTATAAATAATTATTAATTTAATCTTAATTTAGAGTATAAAATAAATCATACCTTGAGCGAATGATTGTACATTATTTTCTAAAGCCTTAGTTTTGCATTCAGTTGCAGTGATAAGTAGAGTTGATAAAACTAAACAAAATAAACAAATCAAAAAAATATCGAAATCTTCTCCTTTACAACTTACTTAAAAGAAAATGAAAGATTTTAATAATTTTCGTCATCTTAAACTGTTTTAATCCTCTAACTCTACTCGATTTTCACAACACAACTCGCCATAATTCTTTTACAGGTAAAAAAGGGCTTGGTAGTCCCGAAAAGGTCTAAACCACTTAAAACAAAGCAAAAATCAATTTTTTTTAATCGAATTCGTTCCAAAATTTCAAACACAACGATGTTACTTTTATTTTAAAAATTTAAAAAAGGATTGTTAAATAATATTTGAATGTTATCAACAAAATAATTATTGCGCATCGAGTTTAATGCGCGTGCGCGGCACTCGCCGAATATATTCTGTGTCCATGGCAACCTGTTGTTAGATGTCAACAAACTCACGTTTCTTTAAATGTCAATTATAGAGTTAAATTTATTCACACAAAATGTTTATTTATTTAAGCAAAAAGGTAAATGTGTTTTTAAATTAACGAGTATTATTATATTCCTTTTTATTTCTTTATTTAGATTGCAATACCAAATAATACCAAATTAAATACGGTTGCTTGGAACAAAGATAATGGTTATATTGCGGTTGGAGGTGAAAATGGACTTTTAAAAGTTTTGAAATTGGATGGAGGTAATTATTTGATGCTATTTTCATTTATGTGTATGGAGGTGTTTGGGGATGTTATCGAGTTAACTTCAATATAATTTTGTTGCATGGAGATGTTCCACCGAGATGAAAGACTAAAACATTTATTTCTATGTTAATGTATTTAGAGAATAATTAAAGTGAAGAGATTGCTTGAAGTTGAGGCAACATAATTTTTGACATATTATTGATGATAAGCTTTAAAAATATTGACAAATATGAACTTAATATAATTGATTACCTTTTTCTTCTTTCTTCCAGGTAAGCTTGGAGCCTGTTCTTCATTGATAATGCCTCTATTCTGTGTGTAAATTATCACTCCATCTTTTCCTTGGACTTGTTTACCATTCTACTCTTTCTATATGTGCCTTTCTTGTTGTGTGTTCCATTATTGATATTTTCCTCCTCATATAATCTTATGTTTTTGCAACTTCTCTATCATAGAGAGTTTTGAGATGTCGTTTTATTGACTTCCTGACTTGTTGGGATACTTCATTTTCAATGTCATCGAAACTTGATAGTTCAACTCCTAACTTACATGCTGAAAATCCTGAGTAATAACATTAACAATTTGTAAAACTACGAATTCAGCATTTTTCTCGATATTTATGCATCTGAAAGCACAAGTGGAAGAGGGCAATATTGTTAAGAACAAAATTTGGTACAACTTTTGTTCTAAAAGTTTTTTTATAACATTCTCCAATTACCGAGTATTGTTCATGATAAAGATATTATCTCGCAACTCCAGCGCGTAGAAAAGCTTTGCGAGAATCAGAATATCCAGAAATGGAAGATAAGTTGTATAAATGGTTTCAGTTACAGTCACAACTAACTTTTTAAGTGAAAAACTTTGTAGTTTTCGCAAATTTTTCAGTTTTTGCAGGAAGGGTAAAAACAAAAGATAGCTCTCAAAAAACGAAATCATGACATGTAAGCTATTTTTTGTCTATCTCTTTTAGTTTCTGAGATAACCTATACAGACAACAAATTTGGGACACCTGTATACTTAGGGCGGCCAAGACTATTTCTTTCATAAACTTCAAGCAGCATTGACTTGGTTTCATGCTCTGAATCTCAAATGATACCATTAACAACATTATGGAAGAAATTAATGTTATTTGGGGCGGCCGACGTCTTCGAAGTCGGCCGAGATTACTTCTTATATCACAAACAATACTTGGGGAGCTATGAGGCGCCATAAATAATTCCTTATTTTAATATTCTCGGCCGACTTCGAAGACGTCGGCCGCACTAAGTATTGTTCATGACGAATACTTAGGTTGGGTTACAATACTTGATACTTATTCTATTGTTCATGATATTTGGGGCGATTTGGAGATTGTTTCTCTTAACCTGATTGAAATTTATGGAAGAAATAACCTCGGCCAACTTCGAAGACGTCGGCCGCCCTAAGTATTGTTCATGATACTTGGAGGCGGCCGACGTCTTCGAAGTCGGCCGAGAGTATTAAAATAAAGAGTTATTTATGAAGCTCCAAGTATTGTTTGATTGTTATGTTTGATTTGGTGGCTTCCACTTCACAGATACTTTTTTCTTTCGGAACCTTCTTTGTAGCAACTACATACTTAGTTAGTGATATTTCGATTGGCAAATCTTTGTTCTTGTGGATGTGATTTGCTTCCCAAAAAACGATTTTTTCAAGTTTGATAGACAGAGTTTAATTGATTATCATAGTTACAATATTTCTTAATATTTAATAATAAAATCTTATTTAGGTGGTGATCAAGAATCAAAATCGCGTGGTTTGACCGCTGGGAGTAATTTATCGATGAATCAAACCTTAGAAGGTCATACAGATAGTATTAAAGTAATAACTTGGAATGAATCTCACAAGAAGCTGACGTCTAGCGATCAAAATGGTGTTATTATCGTATGGATGTTATACAAAGGTGCTTGGTATGAAGAAATGATTAATAACAGAAAAAAATCGACGGTGGTGGATATGGCGTGGAGTAGCGATGGGTTAAAAATATGTATTGTTTATGAAGATGGAGCTGTTATTGTTGGATCTGTCGATGGAAATAGGATTTGGGGGAAAGAATTAAAAAATGTGCAATTAGCTGCTGTGAGATGGTCGCCTGATGGGAAATTATTGGTGTTTGGGTTACAAAATGGACAAGTTCATTTGTATGATAATCTAGGAAATTTTGCGGTAAAAAAAAATATAATAACAATCTCAATTAATTAAAATATTATTTTATTTAGATGAAAATTGAAATTTTTTGTATGGATCCCCTCAACCCAGAAGCAAGCATCGTTGGGATCGACTGGTACGACGGAAAAAACGGCTACGTACATGCTTTATGCCCCTCATTAGCGATTTGTTACGAAAACGGTAGAATGCAACTTATGTGCAACGAAAACGATAGTGATCCGGTTACTTTACACACGGGAGTCATTGCCGTAAGCGCTAATTGGAACCACAATGGATCATTAATCGCGGTTTCTGGCCGAACTGTCGAAGAAGACCGTCAATCGAATGTTGTGCAATTTTATAATCCACTAGGACATGTATATTAATTTATTAAGTAAAGGATTCATTTATTTAATTAAATCATTTTTAGCATTTAAGAACATTGAAAGTTCCTGGAAATTCGATTTCATCCTGCGTTTGGGAGGGAACATCATTACGCGTCGCTTTGGCCGTCGATTCATACGTGTATTTCGCAAATATCCGCCCAGATTATAAATGGTGCTATTTTAAAAAGACCGTGGTTTTCACTTCTTGTCGACCTCTTAAAGCTGGAGTTTGCGTTTCATTTTGGGATACCACAAATAATCAAGTACATCTTATTTATTCTAAAAAAAAATGTATAAATTAATATTACTTTTTTAGTGTCACACAAAATTCGTCCCGGTGTTGTTAGCAATAGCAGGTTTTGGAGATCATTGCGTTTTAGTTGTTGGATCGGATGGTGATGATCCAGCATCTTATGGATTATTGTTGTGTAATACATTAGGGACCCCAGTTGATGGGAAATACGTCGACATTGAAATACAATGGGTTACGATGAATTCAACCCACGTAATTGCCGCTTCAAAATCGAATTTTGTTGTTTGGCAATATAAAACACCAAAGTTTTTAAATATTTTAGCGAATAAATCGCGGTGTAAAATGTATCATATCGATGATACCCCATCGGGGGCTGTTGAAGTCATCCAAGACTTAGATCAAACCGTTCATGTTCCTGTAAATACGTACACCACAACCGACCCAATTTGCGCAATAACTTGTACGAATAAAACGTTAATTATCGGTAGAGAATCGGGAACTCTTCAACATTACGCGTTACCTCACACAGCTCTTTTTAATCGTATCAAAACGGCATCGCGTCCTCATAAAATGGCGATTAATTGCAATTCGACGAAATTATCAATTATAGACACATCGGGTGTATTAACCGTTTTAGACATATCGGAAGGCGTTGGTCGCATCAATTCGAATGATAACGAAAAATTAGAACGAAAAGACGTTTGGGCAATGTGCTGGGCATCGGATAATCCCCAACTTCTCGCGATAATGGAAAAAACGAGAATGTACATTTTTAAAGGCCACAATCCGGAAGAACCAATTGCTTCTTCTGGATATTTATGTAGTTTCCAAGATCTTGAAGTTCAAGCGGTTCTCTTAGATGACGTTATGGACACACCAGACAAACCGAATGGTGATCGTTTCATAAAACTCGAAGTTAAGAGTTTAAGAGACACTCGGCAATTATTAGAAAAAGTTGGGATACAAGAAGCCGCGCAATTCATTGAGGATAATCCTCACCCGAGATTATGGAGGCTTTTAGCTGAAGCGGCACTAAAACAAATGAATTTTACCATGGCCGAATCTGCATTTATCCGGTCAAATAATTACGCCGGAATTTTATTTGTTAAAAAAATACAACAAATCAGTAACGAAGCGGTGAAAAAAGCTTACGTTGCGACATATTTTAAGCGATTTGATGAAGCCGAAAAATTGTATCTTGAAGCTGATCGGCGTGATATGGCGCTGGTTATGCGTCAAACACTCGGTGATTGGTTTCGAGTAATTCAAATAATGAAGAATGGAGTTTCCGCCCCCGATTTAGTACTTGAAATGGCTTATAATTCCGCCGCCGAATATTTCGCGCAATTCAACAACTGGTCAGCGGCCGTTGAATATTACGAATTAGCCAAAAATCGAGCAAAGTTAGTAGAGTGTTATTATCATTTAGACGATTACGAATCAATTATCGACATGATTAAGCAATCCCCAGAGGGCGATCCCCTATTAAAGCAAATTGGTGATATGTTTGCTGCCGAAGGGGGTTACAACATAGCGATAGATGCTTACACTCAATACGGCGATGTAAAATGTGCGATCGATTTGTGTGTTACACATAACAAATGGGACCAAGCTAAAGAATTGGCTAAAAAACACGACGTCCCCGAAGTTTACGCCAAATTTACTAATCACACCGTTAATTTGCTCGATCAAAAATTATTGGCAAGCGCAATTGAGGTTAACTTGCAAACAAAAAATTTTTTGGAAGCTTCGAAAATCGCGTTTAAAATTGCGGAGGAGGAAGGAAAAAAATCTGGTAAAGACCCGATGCGAATGAAACAATTGTACGTTTTGGCGGGAAAACTCGTGGAGGAACACATGAAGAAAAAAGGTGTTCGTGAACTCGAAGACAACAACGCTTGGAGTGGTGCCGAAGCTTACCACTTTTATATTTTAGCCCATGAACATTTGTATTCAGGAAAAATACACAACGCCATGCTTACGGCGTATCAATTAATTGATTACACCGAGTTTATAAAACCAATTAATGTCTTTTCGTTATTGGCATTAACAGCGTTTTTGGATGACTCGCTTGGAATATGCTCTAAAGCTCTTACACAATTTAGAACTATTGAAGATATAAGTGAAGAAGAACTTGAGGAGTATGACCAATTAGCTTTAGATATATTTGAAAAACAGAAACCTGTGGATAATAAGACAGTTCGAGTAACATGCTCGAATTGTCAAAGTTCAGTTCCTGATTGGTATGGAAAAAAAAATTTGGGATATGAATTTATTTAGTCTATTTCTTTTTAATTTTTTTTTAGGTGCACAAATTGTCCAAGTTGTTTGATGCGATTCCCAATTTGCATAGTGACTGGGCAATCATTAATTGACGAATCCGTTTCTGTTTGGGTATGCAACGATTGTCATCACTACGCTATTCAATCATTTGTTTCTTATTACCGAAGATGTCCATTATGTCATTCAAAAATTGATAAATACGATCATTAAGTTATGTTGTGTTATTGTTATCGTTTAATTTATTACAATTCAGATAAATAAATATATATTTAACGATATCTTGGGATTTTTATTGCAAATATTTTTAAATCATTTTTATTTGTTTCCTTTTTAGATTTTTTACAGATAAACAATGTAATTTGGGTTGCATAATTTCGTAGATAAAAAGCCTCGTTTATAGCCTCGTCCCCTTATAAGAAAACAAATCCTATTTTTATCGAAAGTATAATTTAAAATCGAACGATTTTGTGTTATTACGAAAAGTTGTGATTTTTAAAGCATTTTTATTTAATTATTGAATATAAATTCGGTTTATATTTTTAAATAAAATCCACCAGAAAGTAACTTATTAAGAATATTAATGAAGTACGCATGCGCCTAAATCTTCAACCGGAAATTGAAAGAGGGCAGCTGACGCTGTTCGATTATCCAACGCCATTTTCTGTTTTCTCCTGAACGCGTCCGGTAGAGATCAGGTTGAATTGTCCAGCATTGATAAATAGGTATGTTTTTAACTCATTTTTTTAAATAAGCGCGTTTTAACTAAATCCGGCGAATTTTCTTTTATTGTTTCATATAGTTTTTTGTAACATGGGTACACGTGTCTTCGTCGGCGGCTTGACCTACCGCGTCCGTGAGCGGGATATTGAAAAATTCTTTCGGAAATATGGAAGAATTAAGGAAGTTGCCATGAAAAATGGGTTTGCATTTGTCGTAAGTTTCATTTTTACACTAAATTTATAAACTTAAGCAAATTTTTGATAAAAATGAATTTTTTTAATGAATGAAATAAATTTTCCTGTTAGGAATTTGATGACTACAGGGATGCTGACGACGCAGTTTATGAATTAAATGGAAAAGAGTTATTGGGTGAACGCGTTTCTGTGGAAAGAGCTCGAGGAACGCCGCGTGGTTCAGATCAATGGAGAGGAAGTGGAGGAAGAGGTTATGGACCACCAAGAGGGAGAAGCCGTGATAAGTAAGATTTAATTCTTGTGTTTTTTTTATTTTTATTAAGGGGGAGATATACTTAGATTTTTTTTATTAAGATATTATTTAGTTGTTGCAATAGATAACCTCAACTTTTGGAGTTATGAAGTTACAATGATTTTTGTGATGCTCAGAATCCTGAGTGTTAATTGCTATGAATCCCATTGTTCATGATATAAGAAATAATCTCTCCCACAAGTGTCATAAACAACACTTATAGCCCCCCTAGGGAGGCGTGCCTCTCTGGTTGCGAAATCCCGCCCTAGAGCATGCTCTCTCCATATGCAACCCAATCCAACACAAGTATCTGACATCTTTATGATACTTGGGTTGGGTTGTAGGCGAAGATCATGGTCTATCATGAACAATACTAGTCCCCAATTATCATGTGCAATACTTAGGGCGGCCGACGTCTTCGAAGTCGGCCGAGAGTATTAAAATAAGAAATTATTTATGGCGCCCCAAGTATTGTTCATGATATAAGAAATAATCTCGGCCGACTTCGAAGATGTCGGCCGCCTCAAATAGCATTAATAACATTTACTGCGACCAAAGATACTTGGGTTGGGTAGCAGGCGAAGATCATGCTCTATCATGAACAATACTAGTCTTGAAGTATCACGAGCAATACTTAGGGCGGCCGACGTCTTCGAAGTCGGCCGAGAATATTAAAATAAGAAATTATTTATGGCGTTTCATAGCTCCCCAAGTATTGTTTGTGATATAAGAAGTAATCTCGGCCGACTTCGAAGACGTCAGCCGCTCCCCAAATATCATGAACAATACTTAGGGCGGCCGACATCTTCGAAGTCGGCCGAGAGTATTAAAATAAGGAATTATTTATGGCGCCCCAAGTATTGTTCGTGATATAAGAAGTAATCTCGGCCGACTTCGAAGACGTCGGCCGCCCCAAATAACATTAACAACATTTACTGCGACCAAAGATACTTGGGTTGGGTAGCAGGCGAAGATCAGGCTCTATCACGAACAATACTAGTCCCCAAGTATCATGAACAATACTTAGGGCGGCCGACGTCTTCGAAGTCGGCCGAGAATATTAAAATAAGAAATTATTTATGGCGTCTCATAGCTCCCCAAGTATTGTTTGTGATATAAGAAGTAATCTCGGCCGACTTCGAAAACATCGGCCGCCCCCAAATATCATGAACAATACTTAGGGCGGCCAACATCTTCGAAGTCGGCCGAGATATTTCTTCCCAAGTATTATTCGTGATATAAGAAACAATCTCGGCCGACTTCGAAGGCTTCGGCCGCCCCAAATGTCGTGAACTACACTTAGGGCGGCCGACATCTTTGAAGTCGGCCGAGATATCTCTTCCATAAACTACAAGTAGGGTAGACTTGGTTTCATGCTTCGAATCGCGAGTGATACCATTAACAACTTTGTGGAAGAAATAATCTCGGTCGACTTCGAAGACGTCGGCCGTTCCAAGTTATGTNTTTGGGGCGGCCGACGTCTTCGAAGTCGGCCGAGAGTATTAAACTAAGAAATTATTTATGGCGCCCCAAGTATTGTTCGTGATATAAGAAGTAATCTCGGCCGACTTCGAAGACGTCGGCCGCCCCAAATATCATTAATTTCTTCCATAATGTTGTTAATGGTATCACTTGAGATTCAGAGCATGAAACCAAGTCTATCCTGCTTGAAGTTTATGAAAGAAATAGTCTTGGCCGCCCTAAGTACAGGGTGTCCCAAATTTGTTGTCTGTATAGGTTATCTCAGAAACTAAAAGAGATAGACAAAAAATAGCTTACATGTCATGATTTCGTTTTTTGAGAGCTATCGTCTTTTGTTTTCACCCTTTCTGCAAAAACTACAAAGTTTTTCACTTAAAAAGTTAGTTGTGACTGTAACTGAAACCATTTATACAACTTATCTTCCATTTCTGGATATTCTGATTCTCGTAAAGCTTTTCTACGCGCTGGAGTTGTTATACAACATGCAATTTTGTTAATGCAATTGATTTAATGTTATCTTGAAACGCATAAATATATTTCCCTCCTTAATTATTAATTAAAATTTTTAACTGATGATTTTTACATCTTTCGGGACTGATTTATCTTTATGATTGAGATTCCCAGCGTACTGAAAAAGAATTTTATAAAATCATTAATTAGTGGATATAAAACGAAGTATTACATAGTGTATTTTTGTTTTATAAAGGTATGGACCACCGACAAGGACGGAATATAGACTAATAGTGGAAAATTTAAGTAGCAGAGTTAGCTGGCAAGTGAGTATAAAAGCGGAGCGTCGTTTGATATTTGAAAAAAAAAATGCTGATTGTAAATTTTTTTGTGTTAACAAAAAGACCGATTGGGTTGTTGGGTCCTAAAGTGTCCTTATTCCTTCATATTCCGACCGAACGATGCGTTCCAAGGTTCGATATCGATGAGCATACCGATATGAGCGGGGTTCCGTTCAACACTGTCTTGTCCGTTCTGTTCCGGTGCATTAATACGTATTACGAGGGGGCCACACGCCAGTTTGGGAGCATTTTCAACACATTTTTCTGTCCTCTGCCAACTCCGGAAGGAAGATCGATCGCTACGGAAGATTAAAAGATGAGGGATGTAAACGATGCCGAAATTGTACCGATCCGATCCGAGGCAGTTTACACCAATGTAACGACAATGTTATAAAGCTAGAGACGAGTTTTTCAAAAGTTAAATTCTTTGTAAAGTGCTCCCAGTACATGGAGTGTGAAGTTTTGTTCAGTCCATTCTATGACAATTGTCGGGTTGCGGCAACGTCAAGTGGCCATGTTCGTACATTGCGCACCAGGTAATACCCTAGCATGTCGCGGCATTACTTGTTTATTACCGTATTTTTTTACAGTAAATTATTATTATTCCGTATCCGGTTACGTCTTGCACATGAATTTATTATTTTATTTTCATTCAAGGGAGTGGCCAATATTAAAGAACATTTTTAAAAAATCTTCCTTCCTCCTTTCTCTTTCCCTATCCTACAAAAAAACATAGAAATGATTATTCTGTTAAAATGGTTAAAATCAGAAATTCAAAATTTTACCTCTAAAGCAAGACGCAACCGAACGGCGAGCGTTTCACAGACTGTAAAAGTTAAAAAAATTTTTTGTTTTGTATAAGTCAGTTTGTATCACCAGTTTTGAGAAATTTTTTTGACACGACGTTCAGAAAACAGGTATACCAGGCAGTTTTTTCTCTCTATATATATATAAAAAACATTTTCTTGATTAGGCGGCAATAATTTTATTGCAAACTATAATTGACAATTTTCGTTTATTTTGTTCCTTTTACCTAGGACTTGAAAGATTACATGCGACAAGCTGGTGAAGTCACTTATGCGGACGCACATAAGCAAAAAAGGAATGAAGGGTAAATCACCACCAATTTTTTTATTATTTTTTTTATTTAATTGACTTACTTATTTAGAGTGGTTGAATTTGCGTCATATTCGGATATGAAAAACGCGATTGAGAAGTTGGATGATTGTGAATTAAACGGTCGCCGAATTCGATTAATTGAAGATCGTAGGAGGGGAGGAGCTCGCAGATCTCGATCTTCGTCAAGCCGAAGCAGATCGCGTTCAAGGTCAAGACGCCGTTCTCGATCTCGATCAAGGTAGGTTTAATTTTTTTTATTATTTAATTTTTATCACAATTAATTGCAGGTCCCGCAGTCGATCAAGAAGCCGTTCTCAACGTTCCAGCCGATCAAAATCGCGTGGTTTATCAAAAAGCAAATCTCCCGCACAGTCAAAATCGCGGTCAAAGTACGTAATTATGTGTTTTATCCCAAAATTTTTCTTGGAAGTTACTTGATGATTCAGATTTTTAACCATCTTTCGGGGCTGACTGAAATGATGTTAACAAGACTCTCGCTGATGCAATTTCTTTATTATTACACATTTTATATTAAATAATTCTTTTTTATTTATGATGTTGTATTTTTAATAGCTCAAGAGCCAGATCTAATCCGAAAAGATCTAAATCTAGGTCTACGTCAAAGGAGAAGGATGGAATGAAGTAAGTTTTATTTAACATAAAAAGGACGATTAAAAATTTATTTTAATTTCAAGTTCTCGTTCGCGATCAGTAAGCAAAGATAGGCGTAGTAAATCGACCAGCACAACCCCAACCAAAGCGACAACTTAAAAATTACCACATATTACTTCAAAATATCGTTTGGCCCGTTAGTATTTTGTAAATAAAAGAATTAATTCCTTACTCAGACTTTTATAACGTAATGTGGTGAAAAATTAATTAATTTAAGTTTGTTTTCCACTACAATATGTTTTAAAGACAAAATGGCTAACATATATTTTATATACATATTAAAACTGTACCCGTTACGAAGCAATCCTTTACAGCTTTCGTTTTATTTTCTTTTTTCAAAGTTTTTTACAATTTGATTTCAATTGACTATGTAGCGTTTAAGGGTTTCTGTTTGGACCGAGGTTACGCTCGTAGTTTGCTGGTTTTTGGGTCCATTTAGAAAAGCGTATTTCTAGATAGTTGAGAAACCGAGACATTTATGTATGCCGTATATTGGGAACGTTACATGAACGAGCCGCAAACTATAAACATAATTTTAAGTACTAGCTATTAATAAATATTAAAAAAGAAATAAATAGCTGATTTCATTTGCGAAAACGCAACAGCTTTATCGTCACTATTATTAATTACCTCTTTATTCTACACATTAGAACATCTTGAGTTTACCTTTTTTTGTATTGATTTTGTGAATGTAGTCCTAAAAAAGTTGTCGACTTGTATATTTTTTAATGTAAAACGTATATTGTGTAAGAATGAAGAAAAGTTTAAATAAAAAAATCATTTCATTTCCATTTTTATCATTTTTTATACCTATTTCCCACTTCTTATACAGTGTGTTTGTTTTTAGTTAGAGATATGACAAAATATTCGTGATATAAGAAAAAATTAGTATCACAAACAATACTGGGGGCTTCATAAATAATTATTTTAGTACTCTCGGCCGACTTCGAAGATGTCGGCCGCCATAAGTATTTTTCGTGATAGAGCATGATCTTCGCCTGCTACCCAACCTAAGTATCAAGAACAATACTTAGTGCAGCCGACGTCTTCGAAGTCGGCCGAGATTATTTCTGATATCATGAACAATACTTAAGACGGCCGACATCTTCGAAGTCGACCGAGGTTACTTCTTCCATAAATTACAAACGGATTAAGGGAAACAAACTCGGCCGACTTCGAAGACGTCGGCCGTCCTAAGTATTGTTCGCGATACTTGGGTTGGGTTGCAGGCGAAGATCTCTGCCGACGTCTTCGAAGTCGGCAGAGATTATTTTTTATGTCGCCAGAAATAATCTCGATGTATTGTTCATGATGATCTTCGCCTGCAACCCAACCTAAGTATCAAGAACAATACTTAAGGCGGCCGACGTCTTCGAAGTCGGCCGAGATTATTTCTTATATCACGAAAAATATTTGGAGGTGGCCAACGTCTTCGAAACAAACAAAGGTAAGAAACTAAGATTCTAATATAACTCATTTAAAACTACCAAAATTAATCAATTTTTCATGATAAAAGCTCTAGATTGATTCACTTTTACTCTCAGATGCATAATGAGATGATGTTATCGCTTACAATTAAAATAAAACAAATAATTGAAGTGTCAAGAGCATTTATTCAGCAACCAATGTAAAGACTATTTAGATTTAATTTACGGATATTTACGTTTTATTTTTGAATTATTTTAGAGCGCTACAAACCGTAGTGTGGGTTTGTAAATTATTTACATTTCGGACTGTATACATTAATAACAACCTCAAGAAATGTGAAGAAACGAAACTCCTTGACGCTGAGAAACGAAATAGTGATGTTCAGATGATGCTCTGAATAAGTGAATATTTATGTGACATTATTTTTTTTTTCATCAAACGTCGCAGCTTTATAAAATTTATAAAAAATATATATAAAAAAATGGAAGTCGGGTTTGCAGTGATAATTTCCCGGCTTGTTCTTGCGCTTAATCTTTTTAATCAATGGCTTACTACAAACCTATTATATAAGTATTGTGAATTGGGATAATTAACATTTTATTGACGTTTGAAGAAAAACTTTAATCTGAACATCTTTAAATAGAAAAATACTGTAAATACTTTTTTTTTTTGTCGAAAAAATGCAACAGTACAATTTTTTTGATTGTTTTTTTAACTTAATGGAGTGGGTATGACAAGTTATGCGATTAACTAATTAGTTTTTAAAATTTACATCATTACCATACCCTGAATCAGTAGAAATAAACGAGAATACCTAAACTTAAAACTGTAATTGAACGGATATACAGTATATATGATCTATGTATAGATTGACTAACGGCTCAATATAACTAATATATACGCTCCGCGCATTTCTTAGTCGTAGAAAAATACATGACCTTCCGTTACTTTTTTTGTTTCGAACATATTAAACTCTGAAATATTAAAAAAAACTTGTTATTAAAACTAACTAAAATAAGTTGAATCCAAAGTGGCTTGGACGTCCTGAGAATCCTGAGGGTCGGATGTGTCATCAAATAATTGGCTAAAATCTAAAGTATTCGCGTCATATGGTGCTAATTCAGAACCAGAAACTAAGGGATCAGCGTTTCCCATTCCTTCGCTATTTCCCTTTGATAATATATCTATGTAATCTGGAGCTTCATAATTAAAAACCTAATAAAAACAAAGAAAACAGTTTTAATTGTTATTAATTTAAGCAAATAATTACCCCTAATAAAGCATTTGCATCAAATGCACTGCACCCATTCAAAGCTTCTTTTAGCTGCTCCAATTCCGACTCCGTACTTTCCAATTCCTGGTGTAAATCTTCTCTGTAATTTCCATTAATAGGGTCTTTACTAAAGTAATTTGGAGAAATATTTTATTAAAATAGTTTTGGGATATTTAAACTTTATGCAATAAATACAATACATAAACAAAACTACTATATCTGATTAATGAAAACCGAGTTTGATGTGAAAAAAATTACACTACACAAAGTTTAATTTTGAAAGGATTTTAGAAAATTGGAAATATATAAAGGATAAAGTATAAATTATCTTACGCTGAATTTAACCGTTGATAATCAACTTTAGCAACTCTCAAATCTGGATTATCACCAACTGCTTCTTCATCGGCATCTTTTTCAACTTTAGTGAGCAATGTATGTTGAGCGGAAGGACTCATGAAGATTCTTTCGTCATGACCGGCATCATCAATCAAATCATCCGTTTGCGTGGCGATACTTTCCAATCCTACATCTGATAACGTTGGAATCTGTTGAAGTGTATTATTTACTATTTCCGTGTCTGATAACAATCCATCAACTTCCGCTTCAGAATTCGCAGCGGCTGTATCTTCCAATTCTTCAACAAGCCCATCTGGCAGTTGATCACTTTGATCAATTTCGTGAATTGTCGGACCTTCCACTGATCTCGCTTTCTTTTCGGGTCCTTCACTTAACATCAGCGGGTAACGCCGTTTTACACCTAACCCACTCATTCGCCCGGTTCCAGCTGGTTGGTAGATAGTCACCAAAAATTGAATTAACTTGTTTACAATTTGTTGCTGCTTTATATGTTTTTGACGTAGTTTCACTAATTCGCGCCACAAAACCGAATTTTCTTGTTTCATAGCTTCCAATTGCGTATCGACGTTTGCTTGACGACCACGCAGATTCTTTACGTCTTGCAAAACTTTTGTCAAATCATCTGGGCGCTGATTCATTGGTGCGGCGGGCGATGTTACTTTAGAGCTGGTCACCTAACAAAATTCCAAAATAACAATAATAACACATTTATTTTTATTTTTTTTTTTTTATACCTTTCTTTTGATATTCGACAATAAATGTGGTTGACCCTTTTGGAACATTGGGTGATAAAATTGAATCTCATCTTTTTCTAATTCCACGGAGCCGTTATCTACAGGTGATAATTTATGGAAACCATCTGAAAACAACCAAATGTTTTAGTTGACAACAGGAAGTAATCGTATCTCGGTTTTATTTATTTGACCAAAAACTTTATTATAATAAAAATAAAATTGTATTGGAATTTTATTTTGTAATAAAAAAACAAGTGACGTTTTTTTATATTATTTCCAAAATTTATGTAATTAATAAATTGTACGCAACGAATTCTATATAAAGTGTTGCTGAATTTTGTGTAGTAAAAGTTATTGTGTAAGTTTTGACAGTTCTAGTTATAGAAGCATTATATTAATATGTATGTTGTATCTAAATATTTGATTTTTTTGCGAAAACAATGAATATTTATCAAAGCACTCATTATCATTAAATATATTTTGAACTCCTTAAAATGCAAAGTTTCGCATTGAACGCTGAGGAGCCAAATAATTATCGCTGCGAATTTAAAGCAATTGAATTCATTTGAGCCTACGTTAAAAATAGAGCGTAAAGAAACAATAACACCTTCAATATTATCAATGACACATTTTCCTCAAGATTCAGTTTTATGTTATTATTTTATTTTTGCGATAATAATAGTTTTATAAATAAAGTGCGTCTTGCCCACGAAGCTCTTCCATCATCTTATCTATGCGTGGGAGGGACTAACGAAAGCCATCATAAATCGTGTGACGTGGTTTAATCTATTTTTTTAATCGGTCTAAAAAAATTGGGAAGATGTATTTTAATTGTTATAGTAATGTTATAAAAATATTTTTTATAAATAATAAATACATTGAAACAATGTGTAAATACATCTGGTAACCCCCATACAAGCGATTACTTAACAAAAATTGCTTATGAAATAATTTCATCTTGTAAAGCGAAATGTCAAGAGTAATAAAGCCGAGGTCGCTTGCGGCCGAGGCAGTTCGTTGTTACCATATCACATACAGAAATTAACTATTTTTCAACGATATCAAAAATAATAAAGCCGAGGTCGCTTGCGGCCGAGGCAGTTCGTTGGTACCAATATCACATACAGAAATTAACTATTTCTTAACCATATCAAAAGTAATAAATCCGAGGTCGCTTGCGGCCGAGGCAGTTCCTTGATACCATATCGCATACAGAAATTAGCCATTTTTCAACGATATCAAAAGTAATAAAGCCGAGGTCGCTTGCGGCCGAGGCAGTTCGTTGGTACCATATCACATACAGAAATTAACTATTTCTTAACGATATCAAAAGTAATAAAGCCGAGGTCGCTTGCGGCCGAGGCAGTTCCTTGATACCATATCGCATACAGAAATTAGCCATTTTTCAACGATATCAAAAGTAATAAAGCCGAGGCGTTACATTGATAGCATATTGTATACATAAATTAACCATTTCTCAACGATATCAAGAGTAATAAAGCCGAGGTCGCTTGCGGCCGAGGCATTTCATTGATACCATATCACATACAAAAACCAACCACTTTTCAACAATATCTAGACTAATTAAACCGAAGTCGCTTGAGGCCGAGGCAGTATATCGATATCATATCGTATACAAAAATTAACCACTTTCATAGATTCATAGATACAATATCATATACAAAAACTAATCACTTTTCAACGATATCCAGAGCAATAAAGCCTATATGTAGCGCCTCCGTCGCAAGCGACCTAGGCTTTATTACTTTTCATATTGTTGAGAAGTGGTTAATTTCTGCATGTGATATCGCATCAATGAACTGCCTCGATCGCAAGCGACCTCGGCTCTATTACTTTTCATATCATTGAGAAATGGTTAACTTCTGTATGTGATACGGCACCAATGTAACGCCTCGGCCGCAAGCGACCTCGGCTTTATTACTCTTGATATCGCTGAGAAGTACTTAATTTCTGTATGTGATATGATATCAATGAACTGCCTCGGCCGCAAGCGACCTCGGCCTTATCACTCTTGATATCGCTGAGAAATAGTTAATTTCTCTATGTGATATTGTAGTAATGAACTGCCTCGGCCGCAAGCGACCTCGGCTTTATTACTCTTGATATCGCTGAGAAGTACTTAATTTCTGTATGTGATATGATATCAATGAACTGCCTCGGCCGCAAGCGACCTCGGCCTTATCACTCTTGATATCGCTGAGAAATAGTTAATTTCTCTATGTGATATTGTAGTAATGAACTGCCTCGGCCGCAAGCGACCTCGGTTTTATTATTCTTGATATCATTGTAAATTGGTTAATCTCTATATGCAATATGGCATCATCTTTTTGCAGAAATCTTTTAAAATATTGAACTAAAAATCTTTAAGCAAGCACAAAATTGTTATTTTTTACATTACTCATTTCATTCTAATCTTTGAAAATATTTTGTTGTTATTCAAATACATATATGCAAATAACAAATGCGTTTTAATACATAATAAAAATTTCGAAATTAAAAATAATAAGTATTAATTAGTTTTATGATCAAATCAGAAAACATCTTAACCCTACAATAGCCCAAAACTCAGTATATTGTTGATGTCTGACTCTAAATATACCCCACAGCTACATAAGCTTGTCTATGTACTGAATGTATTGATTCATAAATTCTTTTTTCATTGATTTCCTTGATCTTAAAGTTCTATGATTCATGATTTTTACTCAAAACTAACAAAAATGGATAAAAAATTAATCAATTCCGAACTTTTGACTGGTTATCTCCAATTGTGTATAGATAATAATTAACAGATTATGTTAGGTCATATATGTCAATATTAGACACTTATTATAGTTGGAGTCTAATTCAAAACTTTAAAAAAGTAATTCCTTGACATGTAATTTTGATAAATGTACAAAATGCTTCGGTATACCTTGGATTCGTTTGATCAATTTGATTCGATATGTACCGATAATAATTAACACGATGAAAAAAACTAATTACTACATAAATGTGCTACTTACACATATTTAATTGTCGAACAAAACTGCTCATGTTGTTGTGCTTATAGTAGAGAGGAAGTAGTTCGTACCAAAACTGAGCCCGATGCTGAATAACAAAACTTTTTCCACCCTGCGAAAAGAGAAATTGAATGAACGAGGTTAAAACGCAATAAGTGTTAACTTACAGTGCTCCATGCTATTAGCTTGTCGGTAGTTGGATCGTTTACCATTCGCCATAGTTTGCTTAAGAACGCCGGAACGTTGATCGTGTTGTCGTTCTGCGACATCTCGTCTGGTTCTGTTTTCATCTGTACTAGGTGTGAGAGGAATTGTTCGATATCCACAACGTGATTTAAAGCGGTTTGCGACACAAAATGGTTTCAAAACATATGAGCTCACTGTCCGTGCTCTACAACGAATGAATTTAGCCGCGAATGATAAACAAGGTGAAGTGAGCCAACCCACGTAATTCAGAACAGTAACCTTTGAATCGAAACACCCTAGATTTTCTTTAATAATTTTCTCGAATTTACTAGAATATAATAAATTTTAATAATTATTTTTTAAAAATATTAATAAATTTATATTATAATTATATTACTATTTAATTATTTGTTATATCAGCGTAACTATTTTATCGACATTGTTGCCAACCAAAAATGTATAAAATTATAAATATCTCAATATCCCTTAAAAAATTATACAGGATGAATTTTGAGTTAATTAAATAAATGTTTTAATAATGTATTATATAAATATCACTAATATGAACTTATTATGTAGTAATTTTATGTTTCATTTTAATGCTTCATACAGAATATAATATTTTTTTAAACATCCTGTAAGATCCAAAACTAAGGTACAAAATCATCTAGAGATATTTTGTACCAAGGTATTTTATAGTAAATTTTAACGACTCGCTTTAAATTTTTAGATTCCATTGATATGGAATACAATAGTTATTGACGTCATTTAACAGAGAGGAATATGATTGGTAGCGGTTGTAAAAGTCATTACCATTGGTTGTTTTGTCGACTATTTTGGTTGCAAGAACTGTTTCAAAAAACGTACTGTATCGAGATTAAGCTCTGAGTTTGAATTGCGCCTCCTCAATCCAAATCTAAAAATAAATTCGTTCAATCGAAGCTTTCGTTGCATTGTTTCAGTGTCACTGCATAATCCAATCAAAACATGAATATATTGATTTTATGAGAACTGGGAGGAATATAAAAAAAATGTAATTATTCCTTAATATTTTAATAAGGTGTTAAATGTCGTTTGTATTTTTAGAATTAAATGTTTGAATTGACTGATGTTAATTATAGAAAGTGATGGATTAAAAATGTTTCGATACAATAAAAGAGCGTTACAGGCTCTTAATCAAAGCCTCACAACAAATAATTTCAACTACACCACAAATTCATCCCAAGATCGAGCTCAAGTTGTAATAGCAGGTGCAGGTATTGTAGCTAATTCTGTAGCTTATCACTTAACACAAAGTGGTTGGAAGGATGTTGTGGTTCTCGAACAAAATAAAATAGGAAGTGGAACCTCTCACTTTGGGTCAGGAACTTTAGGTCTATTTAAACCAATATCTCATTGCAATATAATATGGTACAGTATTAAATTATATAAAACATTACAAGAAAATGGGTACGATTTGGGTTTGAAACAAACTGGAAGTATTAGTTTAGCACAAACTAAAGACAGATTAATCGCGTTAAAACGCAGAATTGCTTACACAAAGCCCGCAGGATTACCTTCTGAATTAATTCCGCCTTCAGATATACACAATTTACATCCCCATCTCAACACTGAAGACATCGTAGGAGCTGTTTGGCTCCCTCACGATGGGGTTGCGAATCCTACAGCAATATGCACCGTCCTAGCAAAATTAGCAATTGAAAATGGGGCTAAATATTACGAAGGAGTTACCGTTCAAAAAATTTTAACGAAAAATCGTCGCGTTTATGGCATAGAAACCGATAAAGGCGAGATTAGATGTGAATATTTCGTTAATTGTGCTGGAATGTGGGCTCGAGAACTTGGATTACACTGTAACCCACCTGTTAAAATACCTGCTTATCCCGCTGAACATTATTATGCTACCACACCGTTTTTAAATATAGGTAATTACGATTTAAAGTTGGTTTTGATGATTTAAAAATAATTTTTTAGATGAGAATCTTCCGTGTGTAAGAGATTACGATGGTTACACTTATGCAAGAGAATACAACGGTGGTTTTATGATTGGTTGGTTTGAAAAAGAAGCGAAACCTGCGTTCTCAGGAAAACAAGTTCCTAAGAATTTTAAGGAACACGTTAAATGCGATTGGAACCATTTAAGTAAGAAATATAATTTAGTAATAATAGATTGTGGGGTAATAATAATCACTTTTAGTGCCTTATTGGAAACGAGCAATACAAAGACTTCCGATTTTAGAGACGTGCAAAGAACCGAATATAGTGAACTCTCCAGATAATTTTACTCCGGATGGGAGATGGATTGTTGGTGAAACTCCATTAATTAGGAATTATTTTGTTGCTTGTGGGATGAATGGAAATTCCTTACAAGTACTTTATTAGATTTAATTATAATCAAAAATTTAATTAAACGTTTTTAGGGTGCTGGTGGAATTGGAAAAGCAGTAGCCGAATGGATAATAGAAGGTGAACCAAAACAAGATCTCCTCCCGTTTCATATACAACGTTTTCTCGCCGTACACAATAGCACAAGATACTTAGAGCAGCGCATAAAGGAAGTCGTGGGGAGGTAAAACTTATTAACAACACTCTGGAGAGTCTAAAATTGAATTAACAAAACATTACAGACAATACGCTATTTTATACCCACACCAAAGCGAGTACCAATACGCCAGGAATTTAAGAGCTTCCCCTCTTTATGGAATATTAGAAACTCACGGGGCTGTATTTGGGATTAAAATGGCTTACGAACGTGCACTTTATTTCAATGTAAACTATAAAAGTATGCTAGATTACGATTTTTTTTTTGAAGTACATTTATTAATTTTATTATTTTTTAGAAGGAGGGCCGAAACCTGAAATGCCACCAGGAACATTTTTTAAACCGAAATTTTTTGATTTCATGCGAGAAGAATATTTGGCTTGCCGAGAAGGTGTTGGAATTATTGATATGTCATCATTCTCAAAAATTGAAGTAGAAGTAATTAAATTTATTATCTTGAAATTAATTACACTAAACTACTAACACTAGACCTAGAATTAGAAACTTTCGGGTTCAGCTGTGTGCCTGAAGAATGAGAAATGAAGAAGAATAATATCGTGGTGTGGGCAGCAAAATACACAACTCTCGGAACTCAGCGAAAGACGTCGGTCGCTCCAATTACCACGAGCAAAATTTATTGCGGCCGACGTCTTCGAAGTCGGCCGAGATTATTAAAATAACGAATTATCTATGGCGCCCCAAGGCTGCCCCAAGTATTGTTTGGGATATAAGAAATAATCTCGGCCGACTTCGAAGACGTCGGCCGAAAGTATTAAAATAAGTAATTATTTATGGCGCCCTTAGTATTATTCGTGATATAAGAAATAATCTCGGCCGACTTCGAAGACGTCGGCCGCCCCCAAGGATCATGAACAATATTTAGGGCGGCCGACGTCTTCGAAGTCGGCCGAGAGTATTAAAATAAGGAATTATTTATGGTGCCCCACGACTGGCCCAAGTATTGTTCGTGATATAAGAAATCAAAAACCCAACCCAACCCAAGGATCATGAACAATATTTAGGGCGGCCGACGTCTTCGAAGTCGGCCGAGATTACTAAAATAACGAATTATCTATGGCGCCCTACGGCTGGCCCAAGTATTGTTCGTGATATAAGAAATCAAAAACCCAACCCAACCCAGGTATCATGAACAATACTTATGGCGGCCGACGTCTTCGAAGTCGTCCGAGAGTATTAAAAAAAGGAATTATTTATGGCGCCCCAAGTATCATTCGTAATATAAGAAATAATCTCGGCCGACTTCGAAGACGTCGGCCGCCCCCAAGTATCACAAACAATACTTATGGCGGCCGACGTCATCGAAGTAGGCCGAAATTATTTCTTTTGATAAGATTCTTCTAACAATAAGTGGGCCTTATTCAAACAGCCATAAATCACGACTAAGAAAGACTTGATGTTTTAAGAATCCCCTCTCCCGAGAACCCAGAGCCTTAGGTAATTGCCTATATGATAATCCAGCACTGAAAGGATGACAAGAAAGGCAATAGTGATAGGAACAACAAGAATAGAGAAGGTGGTTGGGAACTCAGCTGCACAAATTCTAGTTAACTCAACTAAGCCTTTTCCCCCCAGATTTGACAAATTTCGATTTAATCACTCAAACTTGTTTCTGAAGAAGACACACAAAAAGCTGAACTTGAAAATTTCTATGTAGTTCTAATTTTAGCTTAATTATTTTTTTTTCTTTTTAGTCTGAAAATATGGATGTAGTAAGTTACTTACAACGACTATGTTCAAACGATATCGATGTACCAATTGGACATATTGTTCATACGGGAATGCAAAATGAAAGGGGTGGCTATGAAAACGATTGTATGTTAGTAAGGCAAACAGAAAAGTCTTATTTTATGGTTTCCCCGACGAGTCAACAAACTCGAGTTTACGAGTGGATTAATAAACATCTTCCATTAAAATCATTAATAAAATTAAATGATGTGACTTCAATGTATACTGTGATAAATTTAGTAGGCCCGAAATCCCCAGAACTTCTTAATGAACTTTGCAATACAAATATGAAATTTGGACCATTTTTATATAGGAAAGTAAATGTTGGGTACGCTTCTGATGTTATGGTGATGTCTTTTACTCACACTGGAGAGCCTGGGTATTGTTTGCATGTACCATCTGAGTATGCTTTGCATGTTTATAATCGATTAATGACTGTGGGGAGAGATTTTGGTATAAAAGATGTAGGAACATTAACTCAACGTTTTATGAGAATCGAAAGATTTATTCCATTTTGGGCAGAAGAACTAAGCAGTTCTACAACACCTTTCGAAGCAGGAAATTCGTACAATGTACGACTAGATAAAAGAGACAATTTTATTGGAAAACCAGCTTTACAATATCAGAAAGAAAAAGGAATTAAAAAACAATTAATTTTCTTTCAATTAAATAACATTAACCCGGACACCGATGTTTGGCCGTGGGGAGGTGAACCAATTTATAGAAACGATGAATTCGTTGGATCGGTTACTTCAGCCGGTTATGGGTTCTCAACAAACAAATTAATTTGTTTAGGATTTATTCGACGACCAAAATCGTCGAATAACAAAGTGGTCACTAATGACTTTGTGATGTCAAAAGACGCTAAATATGAAGTGGACATTGCTGGGAAACGATTTTCAGTATCTCCACATATTCATGCCCCTATTCTTATTAATAATGTATCCCAATATAGAAAGTATAAACCTACCGTAGTTGAACTTAATAACAATATACCCCATAACGCTTTGTAAAGGTGATTTTTCTTAGATTTTCAAAATTCCTGTGATATAATGCGCAATCTGTAATATAAATATATTAAATAAATATTTATTGTAATAAAGAGTTGTTTCAATTATTTAAAAGTTATTATTACCTACTTTTTATATCAATTTAATATTGATGGTTGTAAGAACGGTTTTCCCAGAAATACGCCAGTGCGCATACTCGAATCCTACAAAATTAGGCAAATGAAATAAATGCAATTAATAAAAAGTAAGTTCTTTTTTGATTACTTATTTGTAGTTTAGAGGTACCAACTTAATTAAATTTTTTTTTAATTCGCTCAAATTAAAAATTCTAAATTTCCTTAAATTTAAAAATTAGGTGGTTGTAAAACGATCTAATTTTTAGAGGGATTTGTGCTTCTAAGTTACTCATTGTCCGAACGTTTCCTGAAGAGCATCGCCTCATCTTCAAGCGAATTAATAAGGTAACTTTTCAATTAATAATCGATCAAATTACCAACTTTATGAAATAATCAACCCTCGTGGTAAATATTTAAATAAAGCGCTAATTACGAGAAATAATTAATTAAGAAATACGGGTTTGGTGAAAAATCGTTAATTTTTTGATCCAATCTTGATTCAATTTTGATAACTTTAAATAATCATCCATTTGGATGATTTAAAATTAATTTAGTTTAAAAAGTAATTTCTTCGCCATGATCTTCCATGATGGAAAAGTACGTAATTTTGAACACGTGCAAAATCATCCCAACATGTCGGGTTGTTATGATAGAACCTTCCAATAAATTCTTTTTTGTTTTAATCATTTTAATTAAACTCACGTTTAATAAAATTTAAATAAAATGCGATTTTGTAGAGTTGCACGTGTTTTAGAAGCTTCTAATAAGTTTTAAGATGGTTTATAAAAGCTGAAATAACTTTTATTTTAACATAATGAAAAAATAAACTTAAAATAAAATTAATTAACATCTATAATATCTTAATATCTTCTAGAATTTGTAATGTAGATGTTATTTTTTTAGTTTGGGTTACTTAAAACCATTTCTCTCATTATTTTGATGATAAATAATTAATATCCATGATGAGGAAATTTTAAGATGATTTATAAAAATTATATTATGAAAAAACAAACTTAAAATGAAATTAATTAACATCCATAATATCTTCTAGAATTTGTAATGTAGGTTATTTTTTAGTTTGTGTTATTTAAAATCATTTTTCTCATTATTTTGATGTTTATTTCAAAATATATATATTCCTGAGAAACAAAAATTAATAAAAGCTCCACTCAAAATCCACCCCAATCCAATTTAGTCCCTCCCCCATTTCTTCCTGTAGTATTTCTACTCCAATACAGTTTCTCATCCAATAATCCACCATTTTCAGCCCTATCTTTCTCCCTCCTTTAAAATTTGTTGCTCCTTGGATGTGCGCGCAGGTTGTGGGAAATCAGTTGTCCATGAACACTGCTGGGTCTCGTTCACTCTGTTGAAGTCCTAATTTTTACTTCATTATATAAATAAATATAAGCTTATCAATAAATATTATAAAAATCATAACTCAAAAATGAAAAGTGTATAATAAAATATATATAATAAATATTTATGTTTATAATTAAAAGAACCTAATTAAAATACCCAAGCAGTTCGAAATCAATTATTATTTCCATATCTTCCCATAATCTTTTTCCCAATAAAACCTTCCCAACAATACTTAGGGCGGGAGTATCGGCCGCCCCCAAGTATCATGAACAATACTTAGAGCCCTCAAGTATCATGAACAATACTTAGAGCGGCCGACGTCTTCGAAGTCGGCCGAGAATATTAAAATAAAGAATTATTTATGACACCCCAAGTATTGTTTGTGATATCAGAAATAATCTCGGCCGACTTCGAAGACGTCGGCCGCCCCCAAGTATCATGAACAATACTTAGAGCGGCCGAGTTTATTTCTTTTGACATTTCGCATCTCAATTATTGTTATGACTGAATAATTCTAAATAGATGCTCCAAATTTGATTTTTCTAATTTTATTCATGATTTAGATGAAAATATTTGAACTCACCCCTACAAAAAGAATCAACGTGTTAAATTTTAACAATTTTTTTTAAATTTTAGATTCATAAAAAATGAGTTGTAAATACAAAGGAGTGAAAAGACCCGCTGAATCTTCATCAGATTCTAATGAGGCTCTACCAGCTGTTTATGTAGTAGTTGACTTGACATCAGAAGAGGAACATCAACATTCTAATGGAATCGGCAAGTCCTCCTTAGACGTGGAAACAGTCGGTTCTGTACCTGATAGGAGCACGTGCCGAGATTCCCCATATCAGCATGAAGCAGGCTGTTCGAGCGCACCAGAAAAAGTTTCTATTGCAGACTATATTGTTTTGTCAGATTCAAATACTCCGCCGGGTAAATCCGAAATAAAGAGTGAAGAAGACTCTGATGATGTTTGCGAAAGTGATTTTTCTGACACCAGCACAATTCCAGTCGAGGAACCTTCTAACACATCAGATCTAGATGATCAGTTGAATAAATCCTTCAATTCCTTAGAGGTCACCGGTCACCACACAGTTAAATGTGAATCGCCACAATCTAACCAGGATAAGCCTAATACCTTACGTGATATTTCACCATCCAATGTAATAGATCCATTCTTATTACCAAAGACCGAACCTGCTGAATTAAACGATTCAACTGTGAACACAGACAAGATTCAACAACCTGAGAAAATAAAAGATGCTGCATCAACAATGTTGAACATAGAAGATGCTCCATCAACAATGTTGAACATAGAAGATGCTCCATCAACGGTGTTGAAAATAGAAGATGATGCATCACCAGTCTTGAACACAAAAGATGCTCCAACAACAGTGTTGGAAATAGAAGATGCCCCATCAACAGTGTTGCAACAAGAACATGCAAATAATATCAGCACTGAGGAAATTCCCCAAGATAAATCCAACTTAAATTGGACTCCACCATCCGAATATTACACTGCCCCACCAAAACTTTTTGTTTGGAATAAAAAAACCCAAAACGTAGGCGATGATTTTGATATATCCCCTATACTTGTTAAACCTAAAGCTCATAAAAAAGTAAGATTTGAGACATCTACGCCGTCTCCTCCTAAAAGCATACCTGTTAAGGCTAAACCAAAAAAACCTTCACCTAATGTGGCTCATCACGACCCCAACTGGGCGAAAAATATTTCAAAGAAAACAAATTCTCATGTGAATTTTACTGACTTGGAGTCAAAGTTAAAACAAGTGGTCCATCAGCTGAAATCGGTGCCAGAAACCAAAGAACAACAATCAGTTGAATCACCACATCAATCGAATGCCAGTAATGTTCAACAAGTTTTACCAATTGTGAAAAGGTTGTATTCAGCGGTCGTCGCATCTACGAGTAAGCGAAATTCGCCTAAATTAAACGAAAACAAACCAAAAAGTCCTCAAACTCAAACTACGCCAGTTGTTAGTCAACCCAATCAATCTCAACAAACTAATGTTGCTCGAACTAATACTCCAGCTCAACCACAAAATGTGCCTCTACAATCTAATGGTAATGTAAATAATATGCGCCCATTTAATCCTCGGCCAAGTACTTCAAATTGGTCCCCACATCAGCATCGTAGAGGTTACATAAGTCAGCAACATCCGTATAATCCCGCTTATAACCAACCAATGAATCCGGTTTACAACCAACGAACTCCAACCATAACTAACACAATTTATAACCCGCAACAAATGATTCCTTTCATAAATGGTAATCCATCTTTTCAAGAAATTATTTTCTCGCATTATAACCAACAACTTCAAAACTTAAATTATTGGAATTACAATCGACCAGTACAACCTCAAATATCTTTCCAAAATATCCCAATATATAATCCACAATTCCAAAATTCTTTTAATCCAAATTTTGCAAACCTGAACATGCAATATCAGACGATATTTCCTGGACCAAATTATGGGTTTTATCAACAATCTCAACAGGTATTCGCGCAGCCAAGTTTTTCTGGTTATCAGCCACTGATGACAACACCTAATTTACAACCACACCCAGATAATAATTTTTTGAGACCAGAAATACAATATCGTGGACAATTCGGTTTTGCTAATCCTCCAAATGAAACTTGGATGAGTCCTGAAGCTTTTTTCTCCCAATTTAAATCTGGGAATCAAGGATCTTCTGCGGCAAATAATGTTGCAATGCAAAATGTTGCTGGTTTTAATGGACAACCGAATGAACGCCCACAGGAAAATCAAAACTCCGAAGAAATTGAAAGACCACGTTGTGCAATGAACGAACTAGATTATGGTTTACACCATGAACAGATGGGTTTTGTTCGGAAAGAACAACAATCGTTCCAACGCAATGAACCCGAAATGATGGTTCCTTTACTCGATCCGATATCAGTGCCTGGATTAATTTCAGTTCCGTTATTTGAAGATGATCCGAGTTTTCGTGAACAAGCAGACATAGCAGCTTCCATTTTGGCAACCATGTCTATTTCCCCGAAAGTTTCTGAAACCAATTCCTATATTAAATCAGATCCATATAAATACTTTCATTAATAATCACAAAAAATATTTTTCTTATTTACTTAATACTTTTAGTTAATACTCTGTAATAATGAAGATTTTGTTATATTTGAAGATGATCCGAGTTTTCGTGAACAAGCGGACATAGCAGCTTCGATGCAAGCATGTCTATTTCCCCGAAAGTTTCTGAAACCAATTCCTATATTAAATCAAATCCATATAAATATTTTCATTAATAATCATAAAAAATATTTTTCTTATTTACTTAATACTTTTAGTTAATACTCTGTAATAATGAAGATTTTGTTATATTTGAAGATGATCCGAGTTTTCGTGAACAAGCGGACATAGCAGCTTCGATTTTGGCAAGCATGTCTATTTCCCCGAAAGTTTCTGAAACCAATTCCTATATTAAATCAGATCCATATAAATACTTTCATTAGTAATCATAAAAAATATTTTTCTTATTTACTTAATACTTTTAGTTAATACTCTGTAAGAATGAAGATTTTGTTACTTTTTGAATAAATTTTTATTTTGTAATAAAAGTTATTGTTTTTATAGCTTTCCCTGACAATTGGGATAGATGGATTTTTGATGAAGTCTTCAAAAATGAACTACTATTCTGATTGCTTAAACTAACTAATTTGGTGAGCTTCCTAGCTTAGCAGAAAGTGTGGTGTCGTTGTTGCTGGTTTTAGTTGCTCAGAAATGATAGTAATGCTTTGTATGTATTTCAAGAAAGGATCCAAGTATTACAACTAACACTAGATCTAGAACATCTAGAACTAGAATCAATCGGGTTTAGCCGTTCGTCTCTTAAGACGGCTAAACCCGAATGATTCTAGTTTTAGATCTAGTGCTTGGATATTTTCTAGTTTTAAAATTAGAACTAGAAAGTTTTGGGTTTAGTGCATCTTCAGTATTTTGTTTGAATTTGAAAATATTAAAGAACACCGCCATCTATTTTTTAAAGAATGCATATCTAAAAGGTCAGTTTTGTCAGTTGTGTTGCGAAGGTGAGTGTAAAGCGCGTTTATCGATTCATTAACAGTAAACTTTTTTTTTCTTGTAAAAGAGTTCTAGAATTAAATCTTTTTATTCTAAAACTAAGTCTTATTTATACTAAAAAACGTAAAACGCGTTTAGTAATCTTAATATTAAAACATCGTAAACGTTTTTTGCATTTTAATTCTAACCTAAAAAGAACATCTGATTAAACAATGTGACTAGTCACTTCTTGGTAAGAAGAAACATTCATTCTTTGGAGCAGTGAGGTTTATAGGTTCATTCGTTTAGTTGAATTCTATTCGTAGTAAAAACGATTTGTTTCTTAAAATATAAAAGCGACAGAAGAAACCGGGTATCATTTCATTCGAGTTATAAATGTATCTATAACCTAAGTAGTATTTCTAATAATGGCTGATGAGTCTTGTATTTTCTTATATTAAAACGTATTATGCTAAACACAAAAATAAACTGAACGAATATCTCGTTGATAACAATTGGATTTATTACTTTTGTGGGGACAACCAAGTAAAACTACAAACATTTATACACCATGGCTAATGTATCCTACCAAATAGCAAACTTGCTAGAAAAGGTTTGTTCTAAAAACTTTAAAAAAAAGCTTTTTTAATTCAATTTGCTTCTTTTCCTTTAGATGCAATCCAATGACAAGGATTTCCGCTTCATGGCCACCAATGATTTGATGACCGAGCTCCAAAAGGACAGTATCAAACTTGACGATGATTCTGAACGCAAAGTTGTGAAAATGCTCTTAAAATTACTTGAGGATAAAAATGGAGAAGTTCAAAATTTAGCTGTTAAATGGTAATTACTTTAATATCTTAAGAAATTTAACTCTATTAAGACATATACATACATAAATAATATTATTTATAAAGTATAGAAGTGATTTTTCTGTAAAGGCAGAATTTTTCAGAACAAGATCAATGCAGAAATGAAAGAATATTGTAAGTAAAGGGAGATGTTTTCATGCAACAAGAGTCAATAGATATGATTTACTAGTATTATACTTTTTACTCAAGATTTGTGATTAAAGTTAAAGTATATGGTGTTTGATTTTAGCTGTCACAGCAGATATCTTGATTATTGTAGGAGATATGATAAAATGTTATAGAAGGAAAATTGCTCCACATTTAATATTCTATTTATTCAATATATATTCTATTTAATTCAGCATATTTTCGTATTTTTCTCTTTCTGAGAGCAAAAGTGAATTTGCTGATCGATCTCTTTGTGTTCTGACTTTACAGGAAACCTTCCTGAGAGTTAAACATATCATTGCTACAAGATGAGGAGGTATATTGAGGTATGGCTACCAAATTCGGTGCAATCCTGAAAGGGTTAATAACAATTATTTGACTAAACACACATTTTTTTGAGTATTTCAGAATAAATATTATGTTAGGTTGCATAAAAAAAATTTGCGAAATAAGCAAGTAATAAATTATTATTTATGGTTAAATATTTGAGTGAGGAAAGTTAGTAATAGGCGTTGCAACAAATTGTTTATTATTAATTCTGTTACTTAAATTCAAAAAGTCAAAAATGTTATTGATAAAGATATGAATTCATATCCATATACAGGCTGTCCTGTTAAGGGTACAGAGCGGCTATATTAAAGTTAAAGTATATGGTGTTTGTTTTTAGCTGTCATAGCAGATATCTTGATTATTGTAGGAGATATGATAAAATGTTATAGAAGGAAAATTGCTCCACATTTAATATTCTATTTATTCAATATATATTCTATTTAATTCAGCATATTTTCGTATTTTTCTCTTTCTGAGAGCAAAAGTGAATTTGCTGATCGATCTCTTTGTGTTCTGACTTTACAGGAAACCTTCCTGAGAGTTAAACATATCATTGCTACAAGATGAGGAGGTATATTGAGGTATGGCTACCAAATTCGGTGCAATCCTGAAAGGGTTAATAACAATTATTTGACTAAACACACATTTTTTTGAGTATTTCAGAATAAATATTATGTTAGGTTGCATAAAAAAAATTTGCGAAATAAGCAAGCAATAAATTATTATTTATGGTTAAATATTTGAGTGAGGAAAGTTAGTAATAGGTGTTGCAACAAATTGTTTATTATTAATTCTGTTACTTAAATTCAAAAAGTCTCAAAAATGTTATTAATGAAGATATGAATTCATATCTATATACCGCTAGAGGGCGTAACTTCCATAGAGAAACATAAAATTCCCGCTATCTCAGAAAGTTAGACAATGACCTATAACTTTGACAACATCATTTAATAGCTTGGATAATACCGCATCGCTTTTATTTTGAAGTATTTGTCATATCTGTCATAATAAGGGAGGGGGAGGCTACTTTACATTTTAATATCTCCTGGATCATTCAACCGATTTGAATATTTTTGGTCTTGTTTGAAAGAGTATTTTATGCTCTTTTAAAAGATATTTTCAGTAAAACCGTTTAATTTAATACAAATAAGCTAGAGGGTCTTATCTGCAGCGATTACATATTTTTATAATTTTTGAAAAACGTAACTATTTACTTCACAGACTCTTAATTACCATAAAATTTGCTAAATACTAGTGAAAACCGCATCTCGATATCTCCATCCATTCTCGAATTATAGAAGAAAATGTTAAAAATTCGTAACCTGTACAATGAGAATCGAGTTCCCAAAGGGATCCTAAACTTTAAATTGCATAGTCATAGAAACAGAAGAAACGACAGAGAACAGTGGAGATTTATTTAAAAAAAAGAAACCTATTATCCCATCTTGTCCAATTTTTGAAACAATTAAAACTTGAAAGAACTTATTTGATTCCGCTTAATTTGCACACGTCGGGACCGATACATTAAAGTTTCGATTTCGTTCTTTAAAATTTCTCCCAATTAAGCAGAATCGACTATATTATAAATTTATTAATATACTTTTTTCTTCCAGTTTGGGACCTCTTGTGAATAAAGTAAAAGAGTACCAAGTTGAAACAATTGTTGAATCTCTATGCGCTAATATGGTTTCTGAAAAGGAACAATTACGTGACATATCCAGCATTGGACTGAAGACTGTTATAGCGGAATTACCGCAGGCTCCAGGTGGCCTTTCTGGAAATATTTGCAAGACAATAACTAGCAGATTAACTACGGCTATTGAACGAGTAAGTATAAATTTTTAAATGAAAATATTTGTTAATAAAATATTTTTATAGCAAGAAGATGTATCGGTTCAATTAGAATCATTGGATATAGTGGGCGATCTCCTCGCCCGTTTCGGAAATGGATTAACCTCTTATCACAGTCAAATTCTTAGCGCATTATTACCGCAGCTTAGTTCTCAACGTCAAGCGGTTCGTAAACGTACAATTGCCGCGTGTAGTAATTTGGTACTTTCATGCAATAACGCTCTCTATTCGAAATTGATTGAGTATTTACATAACGGTCTTCTTAACGAAAAGAACCAAATGCAAATTCGCACTTACATTCAGTGTTTGGCGGCTGTTTGTCGCCAATCCGGTCATCGTTTTGGGGAGCACATTGAAAAATTTGTACCGTTAATACTTCAGTATAGTCATAAAGAAGACGATGAATTACGAGAATATTGTTTACAAGCTTTTGAGTCGTTTGTTAATCGGTGTCCAAAAGAAATTAGCGAACATATACATAGCATTATAAATCTTTGCTTGAAATACATGACTTACGATCCGAATTATAATTATGAAGATGATGAGGATGGCGAAGATGGCGCGATGGATATTATTGAAGATGAGGATGAGGACGAAGATAACGACGAGTACAGTGATGATGATGACATGAGTTGGAAGGTAAGAAGAGCGGCTGCGAAATGTTTAGAAGCGATCATTTCGAGTCGTATCGAGCTTTTATCAGAATTTTATAAAACTTTGTCCCCTGCTTTGATTGGACGTTTTAAAGAACGCGAAGAAAATGTTAAATCAGATATTTTCCATGCTTATACAGCTTTATTAAAACAAACCAACGCACCTAAAAGTACTACCCTTGACCCGGATTCTATGGAACAAGAAACTCCACTTTATTTACTTCAACAACAAGTTCCCTTTATTGTTAAAGGAGTTCATTCGCAAATGAGAGAGAAAAGTTCGAAAACGCGACAAGATTGTTTTCAAATTTTAAAAGAATTATGTGGTGTTTTACCCGGAGCTTTAGGCAATCACATTGGGGAATTAATTCCTGGTATTCAGTACTCCTTGGGAGAGAAAAATTCTACGAGTAACATGAAAATTGATGCTTTATCCTTTATACATTGTTTACTTACATCACATCAACCGGAAGTCTTTCATCCTTACATTCCGGTGTTGTTACCTCCGGTTATTAATGCAGTCGGGGATGCGTTTTATAAGATTACAGCGGAAGCTCTAATTGTTTTACAAGAACTTGTCAAAGTTATCCGCCCGTTAAATTCACCGTCAACGTTTGATTTTACACCTTTTACTAATGAAATTTTTATGTGTACTTTATTGAGATTAAGAGCTTCCGACATTGATCAAGAAGTTAAAGAAAGGGCAATCTCAACAATGGGACAAATCATATGTAACCTGGGAGATTATCTCGGTAACGATCTATCAGTTTGTTTACCACTATTTTTGGATCGACTTCGAAATGAAATAACACGCCTCACTACCGTAAAAGCGTTAACGAAAATAGCTGGATCACCTCTTGGCATTAATTTGCCGATTATTAAAGACGCCATCCCGATTTTGGGGTCGTTTTTACGTAAAAACCAAAGATCCCTTAAATTGAGCACTTTATTACTTTTGGATTCGTTAATTAAGAATTATAGCGCGTCGTTAAACGCCGAATTACTTCAATTTGTTATCGTCGAAATTCCACCACTTCTCGATGAATCCGATTTACATATTGCCCAATGGACTTTGGTTATTTTAAAATCAATCGCTGAGGTTCATCCAAAAACTTTAGTCCGGAAAAACATTGCGAAAAATATTTTACCTGAGATTATGAATTTAGTTCGTTCGCCACTTTTACAAGGTAAAAAAATATGATTATTAAATATGGAACCGGCTACTTGTCAGATTAACATGAAATATTTTGCTACATCTTGAATTCCGCTTCTATGCTGTTCACAAGGAAATTAAAAAATTGATAATTTTAAAAAATGGTGCCAAGAAAAGTTGTTCCTTATTTAATTCTTAAGAAGTTTTATTTGAAAAATATTTTGATACAAACAATAATTAGGAAGATAATCTTGAATTAAATTTCTATACTGTTCGCAGCGAAATTAAAAAATTGATAATTTTAAAAAATGGTGCCAAGAAAAGTTGTTCCTTTTTTGATTCTTAACAAGTTTTATTTGAAAAATATTTTGATACAAACAATAATTACTAAAATAATCTTGAATTCGATTTCTATATGTTCACAAGGAAATTAAAAAATCCGACAAGTACGTTTTAGAGTGATATTAAGCCGGTTCTATACTTAATGAGCCTTCTTGTATAATCTAACTAATTATTATATTTTGATAGGTGCTGCATTGAATTCTATGTTGGAATTTTTCCAAGCTTTAGTTTCGTGTCGTATACCCGATTTGGGTTACAACGAGCTGTTACAAATGTTATTATCGCCAATAGTGAATCCAACGACCACGCAAACTTTGCATAAACAAGCCTATTATTCCTTGGCCAAATGTGTCGCTGCCATCACTGTTAAGTGTTCTGAAAGGGCTTTACCTGTAGTCAACCAGTTTATTCACGACATTAAAACGACGACGAGCGATTCCCACCATATCTTTGGGTTGTTGATTATTGGCGAGATTGGCAGGAAAATGTAAGGAAATAATTTTTATTATTCATTTTTATTTATTAATTCTTTTTAGTGATTTGACTTCGGTGGGTCAATTAGAGCTAAACATTTTGATGTCATTCAGTGCATCATCAGAAGAAATTAAATCGGCTGCAAGTTATGCTTTGGGAAGCGTTTGCATTGGAAACCTTCCCCATTATTTACCATTTATCTTGAATGAGATTCAGAATCAGCCGAAACGACAATATTTACTTCTTCATTCGCTGAAAGAAATTATAACTTGTCTTTCATCAACACCGGAAGGAGTCCGTATTCTTTTGCCTTTCGTTCCGGCGATCTGGCAACAGTTATTCCTTCATTGCGAATGTAACGAAGAAGGTAGCCGTAACGTAGTGGCTGAATGTCTTGGTAAATTAACTCTAATCGACCCGGCAAACCTTCTTCCAAAACTACAAGAATCTTTATCGTCGCCATCGCCATTAATGCGTACCACAATCGTAACTGCGGTTAAATTCACCATTTCAGATCAACCGCAGAAAATCGATACATTACTAAGACAATGTATTGGTCAATTTTTAAATACATTACAAGATCCGGATTTGAACGTTCGAAGAGTCGCATTGGTCGCGTTCAATTCGGCAGCGCACAATAAGCCGTCTTTGATTCGCGATTTACTCGACTCGATTTTACCACATTTGTATAGCGAAACGAAAGTTAAGAAAGAGTTGATCAGGGAAGTCGAAATGGGGCCGTTTAAACACACAGTCGACGACGGCCTCGACATCCGTAAAGCGGCCTTTGAATGTATGTACACCTTACTCGATTCGTGTCTCGATCGCATCGATATTTTTGAATTTTTAAACCACGTCGAAGGCGGACTTAAAGATCATTACGATATTAAAATGTTAACGTATTTAATGGCTGCCCGTTTATCTCAAATTTGTCCGGGAGCCGTTCTACAAAGTAAGTTTTAAAATTAATTATGGGAAATATTAATTCGTTTTGATTTAAGGATTGGATAGATTAGTAGAGCCGCTTCGTATGACGTGCACGATGAAGGTAAAAGCAAATTCGGTGAAGCAAGAATACGAAAAGCAAGATGAGCTGAAGAGGTCGGCGATGCGGGCGGCGTCGTCGTTATTAGGAATTCCCGATGCAGGTGAAGATTATTTTTTATTACCTTTTTTTATTGTTTTTGTGATTTTTTTTGGTTTGTTGTAGATAAAAATCCTCATTTGAGCGAATTCATAACGCAAATTCGGAATTCGGTCGATTTGAAACCGATTTTCGACTCGATTCAAGAGGATAGCGTCGGAGGGAGACACGATTGCTTCTTGATGGATCAAAGTTAATTTCATTTCGATTCGTTCCTAAGATATTTCGTTTATTTTATTTTTTGGTTTTATTATTGTAATAAGTCAGTTTCAGTTTAAAAATAAATCATTTACGAAAAATTGTTTAGTGTATAAAACATTTATTAAACTCAAAAAATACTTTATAAATAACAAAATTAATTTTAATGATAACAAATTAATTCAAAATTAATTACAAGTAGTGAAGTCGTATCTGTTGTAGTAATTTTGTTCAATTTTCGGTTTTATTTCGTTTTTGGCGATTTCTTTGCGTTCGTTTTCTTTGGTATTGCACTTTCGATGTATTGCTATATTATTTGGTAGTTGTTTACCAACTTTTTGGCATAAATTTGTGAAAATAATGTTATTAATAAATCTTATGGCAGCTGGGTCCCAATGAATACCATCCATTGCTAAACTATCTATTTGATGTTGCATGTAATAATGTAAATCAATTAGATCGATGTCGTATTTTCGGCAACATTTAGCAACGTAATAATTCGCTTCTACAATACTGAAAGGTAACACAGCGTTGAGAAATTGCACATTTTCTGTTAAGAAGCCACCACGTGCTTTTAAACTAATAGGTAAAGTTGTTGTAAATACAATGCAGGTTTTGGGGAACTTATTTCTTAGCAAATGTAATGTTTTATCCACATTTGCTTTGTAATCTTGAATCCCGTTTGGACCCCAGCGAGATAAATCCCACACACAACTATTCATTATAATAAAATTTGGGGGAACTTTCAAAGATTCTATGAAATCCTCAAACTTTTTGGTGTAAATTCTCGTGATAAATTCGTAATGCAAATGAAATTCACGCTTATATTCTCTTATTTCAACATAATTTCGACTTGCTGTTAACACACCTTCTGATAATCGTTTATCTCCAGAGAAAGAATCTTCATTTTTTGCTCTTAATTTTTCGTTAGGTATTAATGTGCCATATCTCGTTAACCATATTAAATCCTTATACAAAGCTCGCATATTAGAATCGCCAAACATGAGGATTCTTTGCGATTTAAACAAATTTATAGCATCATCTTTCGCAAATAGCTCAACAGACATTGTTCGACAATTTGCGCTGAAACAAAAAGAAAATTAAATTAAAACTTAATTACAACACATAAATTTATATTTTCTTACAGATATTTTATGCGAAAACGTTGTTTCTTCTTAAAACCGTCGAATCATTTGTAAGAAGAAGAAAACAGTTTTTTTTTAATTAGAAAAAAAAACTTGTTTTGAACTGAAAATTTAAATTTGTTTCATATTTATTTGATGTTTAATACATTTTCGCCGTTTAATTATAATTGATTAATTGTAATTTAGGAATTAATTAAAAAATATTTTAAGTTTGAAAGTTGGGGGTTGATTTAAAATTATGCAACCAATTAAACACACGTTTATTTCAGGATATCTAAGTAATTAAAGTAATAAATTTTCCACCTATTTTACAAACTAATCTTGCTTGACTTTAGAGGTAGCGAAATATTAAATACACCACTAGCTATCACCTCAAAATTATCAAACTTTAAACTGGTGTGCAGCCGTTTTGGAACAAAATTTTAAAAAAAGTTACATCAATTTGAAAAGAACACACTTTGAGCTATCTAAATCCGGGTTTTTTCAATATCAAATTCTTCAAGGGTTCAAAAGAACCCTACACATAGAAACGGTAGATTGATCTTTCAAAGCAGTATGAATCATGTAGGAAATTTTCTGCTCTATGCAGAGGTATATAATTTTAGTAAATCGCTAAATTGCACAAGCTTAAACATTTACATACGGTAATTTTACGCGGATTTTGCAGTTTTTGGGGGGAAAATGCTTGTGCACCCATGCTATCTATTAAAGTTGTATATCATTGCATGGAGCAGAAAATTTCCTATAGATTCTATATGATTTCGGCGTTTTGTCCGTATTATATAAGAAAGTAACATTTATTTACGCCAATTATACGTGGTTTTTGCAGTTTTTGGAAGGAAAAAGCTTGTGCAACCTTGTAATCTACTAAGGATATATACCATTGCATAGAGCGGAAAGTTTTCTATAGATTCCATATGGTCACAGAATTTGGTCCGTATCATATAAGAAAGTTATGACGCCGTAAACATTTACATACTCCAAAAATACGTGGTTTTTGCAGTTTTTGGAAGGAAAATGTTTGTGCAACCTTGTAATCTACTAAAGTTATATACCATTACATAGAGCAGAAAATTTCCTATGGATTCTATATGGTTGCAGCGTTTTGTTCATATCATATAACAAAGCTATGACGCTATAAACATGTACATACGACAATTCTACGCGGTTTTTGTAGTTTTTGGAAGGAAAATGCTTGTGCAACCTTGTAATTTCCGTAAGTTATATATCATGGCATAGAGCAGAAAATTTCCTATGGATGCTATATGATCACGGAGTTTTGTCCATATCATATAAGAAAGTTATGACACCGTAAACATTTACATACTCCAAAAATACATGGTTTTTGCAGATTTTGGGGAAGAAATCCTTGTGCAACAATACGATCTATTAAAATTATATACCACCGTATAGAGCAGAAAATTTCCTATGCATTCTATATGGTCCCAAAGTTTTATTCATATCATATAAAAAAGTTATAACACTATAAACATTTACATACTTCTAAAGTTATAAATTATAAACCACTGCACAGAGCGGAAATTTTCCAATAAAACCTATATGGTCACTAGTAATACTAAAAGAGAAAAAAATTATGGGATATATTTAATAATAAATAGAAAGTTGTAAATTAACATTATTAAATTATAACAAAATTTTTGAATCGTACTTCATAAAACTCCTATTTTAATTTCAGTTTGGGTCAAAACACAATTCTTTTCCACGAACTGAGTAAGACCAACCACCTGCAGATGACGTAATCTCAAATACAAATAAAAGGGCCACATGTTAAATCTACGCAGTTAAAATAATAAAATTAATTGCAAAATCTTCGAGTTAAACGTTCAGATATACCAAATTCATGCTTTAGATTGAATGTTATTAAATAATATATGAATTATTTGAAAGGATTTTACAAATATAAGTGCGTATTATTTAGGGGCGCCAAGAATAATCGATACGAAATCTGCAGCGACTAAATTCTTAGAAATCAGATAGTGCTTTTCTAGGAAATACCCGACTTATTTTTTAGTTCTTGAGCTCAACATGTGTTTCCTCAAAAGATTTAAATAAATAATCTTTTGATATTTTTGAAAACGCTTGGAAACAATGAATCCCAAGAACTTTTCAAGCTGCTTTTTCGAAAATCAATTAAGATACTCGATTTATTTAATTGTATTATTTTCGAAATAATACAATTAAATAATTTTTATGTAGGCAACCTAATACATATTATAATATACATAAAATGTATTTAAAATAAAAATTCATTTTATGTATTTTATTAAAATACTTTAATATCTAACGAATTTTGATTAGATTAAAGTAACTAAAAATTGTAAATTCTCGATAAAAATTGTCGGTTACAAGAAAAACAAAATATTTCAATTTGAATCATCGAAGTCGGCGATGACTCCTCGACCAATGAGAGCTCGTCGATTTCAAGGTACCGTGTGGAAATGGCCACGTGATTGGTGGAGCTTCTTACTGCACATCCTTGCAGTTTTTTGCTTAGTGTTGGTAACAACTATAAGAAGTTAGGTACGATAGTTGGTGGTCATTTCGTTCCGAAACTCCGACCCGAATGCCGGCGGTTTTTATTTTTTTCATTATTGAAGAAATGGGTGATATAGTCCGAAGACCTAATACATATTTCCAACACGCCAGGGAGTATATAAGTCAATTGCGCGAAGCTGAACGAAGACGACGTAGTTCCACTATGAGCGACTCAAATGTATTGACAGTGGAGAGGATGGTGGAAGCTCTCAGTCGTAATATAGTTTCTTATAGTGATAAACAAAGAATACGCCGTTCGAAGTATACTTTCAGTTTATTTTTATGTAAGTACACGAAAGTTTATGGAGCATCCGATCCTGAAATACAGGATAAGATTGAGGAGCCTTGTTCGATATGCCTTATGGAGTACGATCACACCAAACAGATTCGACTTTTGAAGTGTGGCCACCTATTTCATCGCTTATGCATAGATCGTTGGTTGTTGAGATATCTAACTTGTCCCTTATGTCGCTGTGGAATCTTAGGAAATTATTACACTTTTCCACCCGGACAGACTTCTGGGGAGCCACAAGCTGAAGGTAAATAATTCAAACAAAATTAATAAATTCTTAATAATTAATTAATTGAATTTTTTCAGAAATTGTGGAAGGTGGAGAAGACACACCAGGTTATCAACAATACGCCGATGAAGATGAGCTCTCTGAAAATGATGATGAAGATGATAGTTTGGAGGATATTGTTGAACATGCTACTCAACGAGAAGTTCGAGTTGATGTTTTAAGGGAAGTTTTTCCAACAAGCACCAATCGGTCCAATACAAACCAAGACGATGATGATGATGAAGATGAAGATCAAGTTGCAGCCAAAAGACCAAGGCTTGATGGTGAAAGGAGTAATGATGGTGCTGGACCTAGCAGTTCACATGATGAAGATAATATTGATTCTGCAGATGGTAATTATTTCTTTATTGTTATTTCTTCCATAAACTTCAAGTAGAATATTTATGCATCTGAGAGCAAAAGTAAAGGAGAGCAATATTGTTAAGAATTAAATTTGCTACAAGTTTTGTTCTAAAAGTTTTTTTGTAGTGTGCTCCAAATCCGTAATTTTGTTCGTTTTAAGTTTTATCTTTATTTGCCTCATAGAAGTCGGCAGTCTCAACTATCAAGAACAATACCCAGACGTCTTCGAAGTTGGCCGAGATTATTTATCTTATCCTGCTTGCAATTTATGGAAGAAATAATCTCGGCCGATTTCCAAGACGTCGGCCGCACTATGTATTGTTCATGATACTTGGGGCAGCCGACGTCTTCGAAGTCGGCCGAGATTATTTATCTTAACCTGCTTGCAATTTATGGAAGAAGTAATCTCGGCCGACTTCGAAGACGTCGGCCGCACTAAGTGTTGTTCTTGATACTTAGGTTGGGTTGCAGGCGAAGATCATGCTCCATCACGAACAATACTTATGGCGGCCGAACAAGTATTGTTCATGATATAAGAAATAATCTCGGCCGACTTCGAAGACGTCGGC